TTATCATTATTTCATTTATACATCTCCCATTTATCCTCTTGTTCTTACTTCTCTTTCCAATTCAACTAACATCTTTGAATTTCTTTTAACTTCTTATGTAAGTTACTTTTCCAGCATTTACACTTAATCCTATAATTGAGCTAATCTATCCATTTATAGCTAACTTTGTTCAAAATTCTCAACAGGCACAGAAGTATTTGCAAAGTTTCTCCTTGATTCGGCTGTTCTTGTTGGTTCATTCTTTACTTCTTATGAGCGACGATAATCTGGTGCTTAAAATCTAGATTCTCCTGTTATTGGATTTATTGCTTAACGACCTGCCTTACATGTAGATAAGATTATCTTACTTAACTTAAACTCATTTAGTATTTTAAAATATGTAATTATATTAATTATCAATTTTAGATAACTTAAAATTTTCTAAACTTTATAATTACAATTTATCTGTAAGTTAATAGTCAAATTTATTGAATATATATATAAATCAAAATCTTAGATATATAGAAATATATTTTTACAATATTAAATAATTGAATAATATATAAAATCATACATTCAAGATTCTTCATCATCCATATCATGGCCATATTATCCATCATCATCTGCAAATCCTTGATCTATATCTTCTTCAATTTATTCATCATCATTTTTCTATTATTTTGATTACGGTTTCTTTTATTCCATTTTTTACATGACTTGTTTTTTATTTTTTCTCAAAACTTCTTTAAAATTTTCTGGTAAATCTGTTTTACATCTTCCATATTCATAATCTACTTCAATTTATTCGTTAGTTTCTAATAAAATTAAAACACCCTTTCCATGAAAAGTATCATCTCTAAAATTACCTATATATTAAACTTTTCCATTACTATATGTATACTTTCCTTCAAGACAATCTATTATTGATATAAAAATTTACATCTTTATCCATTACGAAATAATCCCTTATATTCACTTCCATCCTCATAAATTAAAACACCATCTTTTGGTTTATCATTTTCAAATTCTCCTTCAAAAATTAAATCACCAAAATACAATTTTCCACTAGTTCTTTTGAATTCATCAATGATTCCATCAAACAAATGATTTTAACCATATGTAAAAAGTCCTTCTCTTGGAGTATTTTTTACAAATTTTCCTTCAAAATTTGATTTGTTTCTATAAATTTCTTTTCCATCTATTTTTTCACCTAATTTTATTTCTCCTTCATATTAAATAATTTATCTTTTCTTTGGTAAATTCTTCTAACTTGTTAAGACATATATTATTTCACCCTAACCATTAGGAATATATTTTTATTCATCAAACTCTCCAATATATATATATTTATTTAATTCTACAATAATTTTTGCATGATTTTCAAATAAATTTAATAGAATATATGTAACAGCTTTTGATGTTTTCATTTCAATAGTTCCATCTTTACTTAAATTACCATTTTCAAATACTCCATAATGCCATTAATCTTCAAATTTTCCATATCCATATCCATGGGGTATTATCTTATCATCTTATAATTTACCAAATCCAACATATTATTGATCAACATCAATAGCTTATTAAAAGAATGGATATTCAACTTTTAATGGATTATCAGGATAACAAATCAATAATTAAAATATAGATCTTTTTTATTAATCCAAAGATAAAATTTAAGATAAGATTGGTAAAATAGTTTTATAATCTCCTTCAAATGGTTTTTCTACTTTTGCTAATGAATTTATCTATTTTTTTAATGTATCTTTAAACTTATCAAATCTTTATTAATCTTCTTTAGTTCTATCACTTTTTTAATTTTCTCTAAGTACTTTGAGTACTGATTATAATATATTATCTTTAAGTTATCCATCCTCAAAAAATAAATCTGCTGAATTAATTTTAGTAATAGCACATAATACAACTAAACCTGCTTAAAATGAATAAGTATAAATTAAATTTGCAAGAGATTTATCCTTATAATAGTTATCAGTACTAGGTGTATAAGGTCTATGAAATTTAGAACCTTTATATGATATACCCATATTTGATATAACATAATTCTTACCATCTACAAATATATTTTGAGGTGCCAAATCCAAAAATTCATATGTTGTACGACCTATAAATAATTATAATCACTTACCTGTAATTAGAAGATTCTTACAAAATGTTGTTAGTAATTCTAAGGCTTATTCTTAGTTTAATTGATCTTCTTAATCTAATCTCTTTTTTAACTCATTTAATCTATATAAAACATATAGATCTGATTATTTATCATTTAATTCTTTCTCTCCTATTAATACTATTCTTGTATTATTTTCATTAACACATTCAAGCATTGCTCTTTATAATTACAACACTTTGGCTCTAAAAATATCATGCCCCAAATTTTCATATATTTATAGAATATATTTCTATCCATCCTTAGTATTTGACATTGTATAACATATAGATGATATTCCCAAATAAAAGTCTCGACCTTTACCTATTACACTTTCTTAAGTGTAATTTTTATTTATGTAACTGGCATCAACTACAATTGAATTGTACTATTATAACATTAATTAAAAATAATATCAATTCATAAATGTGATTACCTCAGGATCATCTTCTTATATACCATCATATTTTAGTTTAAATTTATATTAAGTTTGACTAAAATTAAAAAAGAATGACAAATTCAATTAATTTAGAATAAAAAATATTATATCAAGCTTTATTTACCAATTCAGGATGCTTAAGTTTTATATGTTAATTTAATGATCCTTCACTTCTAAACATAAAGTAATTATTACCCATATTTCTTACCACATTTTGATAATGGACATTCAAAATTGCGTTAAATTTCACTTGCTAGACTTCTCAATCTTTTTTTCCTTTCCTCAAAAGACTAGTTGTTTCTATCTTTCTAATAATTTAATATTATATTCCTACTTCCAATTGTTCAAGTTTTTAAAGTATTTCTGTTTTCTCTTTCAGTAGTTCCTTTATCTATATAAAATCTCACTATTTATCCTTACCTTTTTTCTTAAATTGATATTGCACAGATATTACTAGATATATTCTCCTTAATAATCACCCATCAATTTAAAAATTAATTGTTTTAATATTTATCATTTCACAAATCATTAAATATAAAGATAAATCTCATAATAATACTTTATTTTATTATTATTTATATCTCATTTTCAACTTACCATCAAACAACTCAAATTCATTGTTCTTCCTTAAGATAGTATTAATACAAATACTAATACTAATACAAATACAAATACAAAAAAGTTATTAGTCTTACCCTTTTTTGCGTTTTTAATATTCCTAAAATTCTGACAAATTCTCATCTAATTTATTAAACTTAATTATAAAATAAATCTTTATTTTCAAACTTCAACATTTCACAAATCTCTCCATAACTATAAAATCTTAAATTAAATTTTTTTTATTGTATAAGAACCTTAAAAATTGTGGCTTTTTAATGATAATTATTCTTAAATAATTATTTACATTCATTCAAAGTGGTATGAATATAAACATGGTATTTCAATCTAATTATCATCATCTGCATATCTTTCATTAAATATAAAAATTTGATATTTTATATTTTAAAATTTTGTAATAGATAAAATTTCTAATAAATTGATGCCTATAAAGTTATTTAAGTGATTTTATCTCAAAGTTACTCATAAAAGTTATTTGACTAATTTGGTTATTATTGATTGATTATTTATGATTATCTTGTTGTAAAACAATTTATTATAAAATAATATTCTATTTTATTTTATATTTTGAGGATTGATAATGAATAGGCTGTTCTTATAAATTTAAAACATAAAATAGAGGTTTGATTTAATGAAAAATTCTTGAAACCAAATATTTCTATTGATATTATAACCTTATAATGTGAATTTTACTAGAATTTTAATGAATAATAGACTTTACAACAATTTTCGAAATATAATAATAAATATATCGACCTCCTTTTATATCATTTGTTTTTAAAGTGCCTATATATTTATAAATTAATTATTAAAAACTATTACTATTGATTTTAATGGCATCTAAATACTTATAAAAATATCCAGTGCCTGAAAATTTTCATTAAATCTTACATGATTTTACGAGAGAAGTAATAAAAACAAAAATAATTGGATAGGTATTAAGAGATTAGCCAGATGATATAATTTAGTATGGTATGGAATATTTTGAATGTATGAGAGATGGGAAGGTATTCAATTTTTAGAGCAAATATAATATTTCAAAAGGTTAATCAATTGAAAGGAAGCATTAATAGACAAAGCCTAAAGATTTAACAGAACAAAGTAGAAAAGTAGTTGAAATATCTAATAAAAAATAAGATGTTGATAGAAAATCTTCAGCACCTAAAACATAATCTGTAAGATAACTTTCAGCAGGGTCTTAGGCAAGCTTTCCAGAAGAGAAGAAAGCTGCTACAGATTATATTAATGAATTATATCAGAAAGTTGAATAGGATATAGATTAATTAGAATCTGGTAAAAGTGAAACTTAAAATGCTTTTTTTGAATCACAATTTGTAATCATTACAATATTACTAAGGATGGAAAAGACTTAGAAAAGATTATAAAGATTTAGGCTAGTGCCAAAGGAATGTTAGTTAGAAATTAATTAAAGTAATAATAATAAGAAGCAATGATATATGAAGAAGAAGAGGAAGTAAATTTCTAATCATCATAAAAACCACAAGAAGATGGTTAAGAGGAATATATGTGATAAATAACTTATTAGATATATATTAAAATTATATTAATATTCTGGTAGGTTCTAATTTACTTAAGAAATATTGAATGGCATTTAAATGAAATCCTAAATTTCTATTAAAATGTAATAATAATATAAATAAAAATGAAAATATCATAAGAAATTATTGGTACTGGTTTAACTAGCTAAGTAAAAGTTGTTTAGATTAAAGAAGATTATTATGCTATAAAAAAATTCAGAGATAATTATTCTGTAAAATAGATTCGAAAAGAAATTAATATTTTAAAATACCTTAATCATCCTAATATTATATAGATAATAGATTATAATCTTGAAAGCAAATATATTATAACAGAGCTTTTGAATAAGATGGATTTGTTTGATATTTTGGCTAAGAATAAGAAAGCATTTAAAATAAATTCAATAAAATACTTTAGTAAATAATTGGCATAAGTTATATAATATTTACATGAAAAAGGATTTGCACATAGGGATATAAAATTAGAAAATATATTGTTAGATGATAATTTCAATTTAAGATTATGTGATTTTGGATTGGGTGAAGAGATGGACTCAAATTTAGTATAAAAAAGTTTAGGAACTTTAGGATATTTAGCTCCTGAATTTTATAGTGATGGACTTATAAGTGCTTAAGAATTAGGAAAAGCAGATATTTATTCATTAGGAATATGTATATTTGTTTTAGGATTTGCACATCCTCCATACAAATCGAATACAACGTAATGTCCATATTGGAATTTACTTTAAATGGGATAATGGTAATAATATTGGGAATTAATTGATAAATAGAATAAATTTAATTAAGATTTTTATAGTTTTATAGAGGGAATGTTAGATTAAGATCCATCAAAGAGGTTTACAATATAGGAAGTGCTTTAACATCAATTTTTGATAGGAGAATGGAAAGAAGAATTTGAGATGGAAATTAGAGAAAGATTATTTAAATAGTGAGACAGGTGTCTTTAAATAGGTTATTGATTGTTATATACTTTATATTTAATTAATTATAATGTAAATACAAAATAAAATTGGAGAAGGGCTGTTCGGTCAAATTCATAAATGTTTAACTGATGATGGGAATACATGTGCAATAAAAATTTATAAAGAGAGATGTCCTAGAAAATTAAGAGAGAAAGAGATAAAGATTCTGTAATCTATTAGTCACACAAATATTCAGAAAATTGTGAAGTCAGATTAGGAATATAAATGGTTCATTACAGAATTGATGAATTAAGATCTCTATTAAATGATCATTAAACATGGTTGTCTATAATAGAGTACCATAAAATAAATTCTATTATAACTAAGTAATGGATTGTCTTATTTACATTAACTTGGTTATGTTCATAGAGATATCAAATTAGAAAATGTAATGATGACAAAAGAACCTGTTATAAAATTTATCGATTTTGGTCTATCTGTTTACATTGATTATAATAAATAATATCCAAGACATTGTGGAACTTCAACTTACATGGCACCAGAGTTAAATTTAGATGACAAACTAATTATGGGAGAAATTCTGAAGAAATCTGATATTTTTGCACTTGGTGTATTAATATTCATACTTTGTTATGGTTGTCCACCATTTACTATTGCTAAATCCACTGAATGTAAATTTTGGTAAACTATTGAATAAAGAAAATGGTAATCCTTCTGGAATTACTTTGATAAAAAAATCATTAGATCTGATGATCATTTCAAGAATTTGATTCAAAATATGTTAGAGCCTGATCATAAATCAAGATTTACAATACAATAAGTGAAAGAACATTAATACTTAAATGAAGTAGGAAATTTAAATGAACTATTATTATGAATAATTTAACTTATTATACCAGTTTCTTAAATTTAAATTATTTTATGGATTATATCAATTTCTTAAAAGAAGACAATGCTGTTGATCAAGTCTTAATTTAATTCAATGAACATGTCGAATCTACATTTCAACAATAGAATCTATAAGAATAAGTCTAAAATTTATTAACTGATCTTTCCAAGCCTTTGATTATTGATGAAAAAGTCTATTATACTGTTCATTAAGCTCCATGGCATTTAGTTACTAATAAAGGAGGATGTTGTATTATCAAAAAAGAAGGAGTACTTGTAATTGCAGCATATGATGAAAATAAAGGATAAAATCCAAGTAGATTTAGAAGAAGAATGAGTTTACTTGATAAAATAATTTGATTATAAAATACAAAATCAATAATTAATCATATTTTTAAAAAGGGGATATACATCTAAAGAATTCAGGTTTAAAATAAACAAAATAATATTAATAATCTGTATTGGATTTCAAAATATTTATATGAAAGAGAAAAATTAAATAGTTGAATAAGAGAAAAGAAATTCCTAATTTTCAATAACTCATTTTCTATTTATAAAATAAAAAAGAAGAAACCAATATATATTTGATTAATTCATAATCATAAAATATTTAAGTACTTATTTTATTCTCATTTTAATTAAGAATTTAAATTAGATTTCAAACAATCAAGCAATCTTGATTTGTATAAAATTTTGCCATAAATATTTTCAATTTTATTTTGTAGTCAATCAAAATAAATATTAATTTTAGATCAAAATGAAAAGAAATATTTTAAGAATACTTGATTCTAGTTATAAAATTTTTAAAGCATAAAAAGGCTTCAAAAAATTTGATCAACTAATTTAAGTTGAAATAATGAACTAATTACCTAAAAGAATAATTGAAGAGTTTCTATAAGAATAGTATTTAAATTATGGGAAGGTGAATGAAGGTAAATTTAAGAAAAAAGATATATATTTAGAGTGAATGAGATGAGAATAATAAATGATTGTTTATAGAATGAAAGATTACTAGAAAAGGTTAATGAATGGTGGTATTTAAAATGAATGTAAAGAGAGGGGATACTGAAATATTGTAATATTTAGCTTATTTTTATTTGATAATTAAAATATTTCATATTTGCGCGAAAATAGTTGATTAAAGGATATGCCGCCGAAGAAAAATGTATAAAACAACAAAAATATATAAAACTTCTTTAGTAATGGAAATAAGAAGGAGAGAAAAGAGATAAAAGAGAAATAAAAATAATTTATTAAATGTCCTTTAATCGGATCAGTAGGTTTTCAATTAAGGAGAGTACTATAGAGATATAGAAATGAGATGATGAAAGAATTTAATTTAGGATAATTATTACAATAGATAGGGAAAATAGAAAATTTGGATTCGATAGGAAATATGTTAAGTTCAATATTGTATTTGAATATAACAAAGATGTCAGATATTTGGAGTGATATTTATACACCTGATAATGTTGATGATGTAATTTGATATCTAAACTTAGTTAATTAGTTAAGAAAATACTTAAGTTCTTAAACATTGGTTGAAGAATTCTTTTTCTATATTGGTATAAGATTAAGTAGAATAATCAGAGTCATGGTATTCTTAATCTAATTCAATGAATAATTAAAACATGAATTATTAGATGTTAAACATATATGGTACAAGTGGAAAGATGAGTACTATTTTGGCAATAGCAAGAGCATATAAAATAGATGTTCTATTGACTTATAATTATACAGAGAAGAGAGAATTTGAAGAGATGTTTGCAAGCCAACATATAAAATTTACTTAAGAATAAGAAAATACTGAATTTGGAAACAAGAAGAAGATTATTGTTCATAGAGGGACTCTTCCAAAATTCATAAACTCTAGAATGTTATAGATACAGCGAGTGCCTTTTATATGGATTACAGGTATGGAGTCTTCATAATTGCAGACTGTAAGCAGAATCACGAACTTTTCGATAACTTTGAACTAGTGCAATATCCTCATAATGAAATCGTTAGATACATTTATTTAATATTGTTAATTGAGCATACTTATAAAGACTAATTGGATATAATCAATTCAGAGTTAAAAAAGAAAGTCATCTATGAAAACATGAAAGATAAGGGAGGTTTTTATTCTAATTTTTCAATCAAGAAACCCTTTCTTAAGATTCAAAATTTAGATATGAATTTAAATTATTCAGATATATTTATACTTACATTATATATGAAGGGTAATATGAGAAATATATTGAATTGGTTATAATTTCATTAAGATGATCATAATATTCAATTCTTAATTAAAGAACTCAAATTATCAAATATATAATTGTCATATATGTTAAAAAATCAATTACCATTATTTAGACCTATTGATAATAATTATTAATTAGATCAGAAAGCCTAATAATGGTATGATGAATAATGTATAAATTTAATTGATGATATGATACAAAGTAGATAGAAATTATTTATTGAATCTTATGGGAGAAGAATAATTAATAGCAAAAAACATTTATACTTAATCAATCATGTTCTAAAGGTAATGTATTATAGGTATTTATAATAGCATAATGCATTTAATGTCCAAACTATTAATTAGAATACTAGATTAAGAAGATTGAATAGAGAACCTTAAGATCTTTATAAACCATTGTAATCACTCTTTGAATAAGATGAACAATATGAGATGTTTAAGTAATTTGATAAATTTTCAGAGTTTTTAATAGGTTGATAATATTTGTACAAATCTCCTAAAATAACATTTTTTTATTTATATATATATATTGATGTTGAATAATTATATCACCATAAATTTGAGTGAGAATAATTTATTCATTTTTTTTGAAGTAAAATGAAAAGTAGTTCAATGACAAAAGAATAAATAGTAGATGAATTTACTCTTTATAAAAGGTATGTTTAGCATCTATAATCTACCTTATTGTAAAATGAAGGTTAAAAATAGAGAGAAATAAAAGTGAATGTAATTAGAACAGAAGCTTATGAAATTGACATAAAAGTTAAGAGGAATCGTGATAATCTACCTATTAAAACAAATTACTATAAGAGTGTACCTAGTAACATTAGATTATAACATCCAACCCCAGTATTTTTAGAACGTTTAAGTAGAATTTTAGTTATATTTCTTAAAGCTCCTTTGTCAATTCCAACAAAATTAACAGAAGAAATAGAGGAACATGTATAAACCTTAGAATAAGGATTAGCTAAAAGCATTGAAGATAGTAAACACTATTTAAAATTGGAGAATAAAATATTCATAGATTTGTTTTTTGATAAATTTAAAGATAAATTAAGTGGTTTATAAGCAGTTTTTTAATTGTAAGAATTAGCTTAAGTTATTGGATGTTCAGCTGATTAAATTTAATCATATTATTTAGCAAAACAAGCAAAAAAATATGATTAATTTGTAGGTTTTAATGTGAAATACTAGTTTGTAAGATTTAATAGATATTTTTGTCCAATTTGCAATTTATATCTATGTAGTTTACATTATCATTCTAAAAATCAAAGATTGTATATAGAAAAAGAACCTGAAGAAGAACCATAAGATTAATAAAAAGATGATCCTACTCATCATGATAATTTTTATGAGACTGAATTTAAACCAAGTCAATAAGTTTTAAGAGAAGTGTTTGGAAGATATAAATTAAATAATAAAATGGAAATGGAATAGAGATGTAGAGATATTACCTAATGTGGAAAATATGGAATAGATTAAAATAAAATGAAAAAGTTTTAATAAAAATCAGTTGAGTAAATGTTAGAATTTGGATTTAGTAATTGTTGTTTTATGGCAAGAATCTTAAGTCATAGGATTTATCCTGTAACTTGTTAATAAATTAATTATTTAATAAAGACTTTGAAGAGTTAAAGTAAGAAACACATCACAAATGGTAAACGTAAATAACAATAAGCATCTAAGAAATAGAACTTAAATAATTATGCATAATAATATATACCATGTTTTCATGAAGGAGAATGTGGATCAAATTCATGTACTTGTGTAACATGTCATAAATATTGTTGTTGTAAAGGTTAATGTCAACAAAAAGCAAAATCTTGTGATTGTCGAATTTGTGGTTATGATGAAAAAAAATAAAAGCATTCATGTCCATGTTACATTAGTGGATATGAATGTGATCCATAATTATGTAAATGCCAATCATGTTCAAATAAAAATCTATTGCTTCAGGTTCGAAAATAGTTTGTCCTAGGTAAATCTTTAATTTGTAATGGACTTGGTTTATTTGCAGCTTAAAATTTCAAAGTTTGTGATTTTGTTGGAGAATATACAGGTAATTATATACTCTTAGATGATGAAAGTATGGCTATCGAATGTAATTCATTTTTATATTTTAGAATGTGATTGGATTACCAATAATCATTACCTATTCGAAGTCGATGATAAATGGTAAGTAGATGGAACCTATTACAGTAATTGTTTAAGATATATCAATCATGCTACAAAGAAATCAGATCTTGCGAATTGTTAAGCCTAGATTCTCTTTTCCGAAGGAAGATGGAAAATTGCCATGTATTTATATGATATATTTAAAAGGTTCTCAACAAAAAATATATCTATTGGAGAAGAATTATTCTTTGATTATGGAGATAAGTTTTTAACTAAATGGTTAACCGATTTTAACAAATTATGTGACGATTACTTCAAAAAATGATTACTTATAAAATCAATAAATACAGAAAGTAGGCTCTTAAAGTCTGCTCCATTTAGTAAATAATTATATTTTTCTTGCTTAACTAAGAATTCTTTTCATATCTGCATTGTGTTATAATAGAGCATTTAAATCTATTAATCCGGTGCTCCAAGGATATGCACCATGAGTAAGTAATAATTTAACTATCTCTTGATGATTTTCAATAATTGCTATACTCAAAGGAGTTCTATTCATCAAATCTAAAGCATCAAAATCTGCATGGTAATGTAATAATAGTCTGACCATATCTAAACATCCATATTTACATGCCCAATGAAGAGCTGTCATATTGTAATAATCATATTAAAACACTAAATAAGGATGAGTTATTAAAAAACTCTACATCTATTCTATTCTATTCTATTTAGATGCAAATATAAATTCCTTTGAAAATTAACATGAATAGGCTTTCTTACTGAACACTTACTTCTATATCACATCTACTAATGACAATCCAAGAAGTTTTATCTTTTTCAATGAACGACTCAATAATTCTAATTTTCTCCGATTCCTTTTCTTCTAACTTTATCCAAAGAATTTCAAATTAGATGCATCTATTTATGGTGTAGACTTAGCTGATATCTCATGGATTCTCATTTTTCTCTTTATTCCTTTTACTTCTATATCCATAATCTCTTTATTTGGTCTTATCTCTATTTACTAAGATTTTAGTTCTCTTTGTCTAATCTATTATACTGATGATTGTCTATCAAATAATTTCTATGCTGTCTATGGTTTTGGTTCAATTAGTTTGTAATTTGTATTTGGATTTTGTTATGAAAATAGTTTCCTATTCTTCTTATTTATCATTAATGGAGAAGGGCTATTTGATGCACAAATCTTATCTACGTTTTTAAAGTCTCCAGCATCATAATGTACTATATGCTTAAGTGAGTGATTTCTTAGAAATTCTCTAATCTATTCATCTGATGGCACATTAATCTTTTATTTCTTTAAAAGTGACACCATTTTATTAGGAGGCAAAACAAAAAACTTATAATCGTAATCTATCTCTTTTACCAATATTACCTTTTACAGCCAGTCTATGCTTCAATTAAGGAAACCAAGGCTTTGTAGTATTAATTGTACATTTATTTGGAGTTGTTTGCTTGTCAATAATTCTCTTATAGTACTCCTATTCAAACATTTTATTTTAGCTATATAAATACTCTAATTAACAATATTAGTATTAATCAATTATATATTATATGATATACACTAAAATTAAACAAATTACAAAAATATCTTTAAAGACATCTTTTAAATTATAAATATATTCAATCACATTCTATTTTACTTCTTCTATTTATTTTATTAAAAATACCTTTAAATGTATTTACTACTTAAATTTAACATATTATTATATGAGGTCAAGGATTTATATTTATCAAATTTATTTCATTTTTTTTTTTCTAATTTATTAAAAATAAATTAAGTTTTACAATTAAATCCCAAATTATATCAATCTAAATCTTAGATTTAATTACAATATATTATCATAAGATGATAGCAAATTTTTTAACATAAATTCATTAATACTTGCACTTACTAAAGTAACAAGATTTTCTGAAATAGAAGAATTTTATTTAATTTTTTGAGTCAAAATCTCAAAAGCTAAAACTAGCAATATATATATTTTTTATAAGTTCTTTAAATTCAATCAGAAAATTAAACTTAATAAATTATCTTAGTATAACAAAATTTTATTAATATATTTAGCATAAAAATCAATAAAATTTTAAATTAGTAGTTTTGGTTAATTATCTTACTAAATTTTTAGTAAAACTTAAACTAATTATATTAACTCTTTTGAGACATTCAGAAAAATATTATGGAAATACAAGTGATAATTTAATTATTTATTATAAAATTCTTGATCACTAAAATTTTTAGAGTTTAATTAAAGCACATACATATTGCATAATATATTTTTAATGTTAATCTTAAAATTTATATTTTAAAAATGAAAAATTTATCAATAAAATGTTAAATATAGATAATTGTAGTATGAACAGACTTTGATAATAGTAAATTAAAAATTCTAGAGTAATAATTAGTGGGTGATGAAATTATTTCATAAATTTATTATTTTTATGGTTATCGATCCAAATTTAATAATAAATGACATTTAATTTTTCTTTCTTAAACAACAAATAAAAAAAAGAATATTTGATAGAGCTTAATGAATCAAAATGATAGCTATTTTAATATTAATTAATTAGGTTAAGTTTGCTTTCTTAAATTTATATATATCAGCTTTTAAATTTTTATATATTCTAATTTAACTATTCATAAATATTAAAAACAAGATTTTATTTAGAGCTAATGTCTCTTATAGTTTACGCAGCTAAAGTAATGAAGTAAAGTTATTTAAAAATATCTCAAGTGTCTATTGTGGGTTTTAATTAACTTGGAAAACATGTGAAGCTTTTAAAAAATAGAATGAAGAAATAGGAGATTCTCTTTTGATAAAATGGTATGAGGCATTTATTAATAAGGTTTTTACTTTACTCTTTTATTTAATGTGAAGCATTTCTAATGTTATTTTTCGAGCTAATTCCTTTTGGGTTTTTTTTTCCATTTTTTATAAAATTTTACATTATGCTACCTCATTCAAAATGGCATTCTCTAATATATGGAGTGTTTGAAAAATTAGAAATGGATTAGTACACAAATGTTTTCTTTATATACTTCACAAAGTTTATTAAGTATTTTTTGGTTCGATTCTTAAATGTAAATATCTTTATTTAAGGAATAATAGTTAATAGAAACTTGTATTGATATTGTGAGAGTAGAGGAATTACCAGAATTAGAAAATTAAGTGGAACGTATAATGCAAAAAATTTTAAATAAAAAATAATCCATAGAGGTGACCAAATCAAAAATCAGAATAAGAAACTCTGAGTATAAAAAAATTGAACATAAATCAGAAATATTATCAGTTCATGCAAGTGTTAAAGATAATGGCCGTTTTGTTGATTATCTTCTATTGTTCAATACAAAAACAAGTGAACTAAAATTCATCTGTCCTCAAAATAATTAATGTGTATATTAAAGTATCGTTATTTCTATAATAAGGAATCCTTTTATCTATTGATATCAATTAAGATAAATGCTTAAAAGTATTATATGCAGAGGATGATGGAAATCTAGAGCTTATGAAACTCAAAAAGACTGATGATATTGAATTATGGCTTAAACCTGTTATAGAAATTTTAATTTAAAAAATTTCTCAATTTGAGTGAATATTATCATATTATAATAAATAATGAGTCATTTAGAAATAATATTATAATTTCAATGAGTATTTTAAATTGTCTAGATATAGTTTAGCAAATTGCTAAATGTATTCTATAAAAGAGGTACAAATAAAAGGTAGATATGAATTTTAATCTTGAATGCAATTTAATTAGAAAAAGATGGAATTCTAATGGAGAAAATAATTTGGCAATTCAATTTTATTTAAAAAAATAATTGAAACCTTATTTAGTGGAAGAATGGAATATTTTATGCAATTTGCAATAAATTAATGAAAATTCTTAGTAATTTTTTGAAAAATGCATTGAATTAACATAATTAACTCCATTATAATAAAAGAAAGATAATGAAATAGATCATATCATTCATTTGAATGAGAATAAAAGTACAAATTGGATTGATCCAAATTTAATTGCCACTCTTTAAATTTAATTATCGAATAAAATGACAGTAAATGTTGCATATTTGTAAAAATTTGATCCAATAGATTAAATGGAAAAAGAATCAGTAAATGAATTTAAATCATTTAGAAGAGATAGATTTCTTTCAGATGATTTACACACTCAAAATGGTATATAAAATAAAATATATAGATACTCAATTAAGAAAGACAAGTTTTCATGATTTAGATGGTTTAAGAAAATACAAAAAAAATCAAGCAATCATAACTTAAGCAATTCATAGAAAAAATGATTCACTTTGTAAAAATAAATAATGAAATTAGCCTCTAATTCAAGTAAAAATAAATCAACTCAACTATTAACAATAATTAATAAAAAAGATGATGTAGAAATACTATCATTAGCTGAAGATGCATAAAAAATAATTGATTAGGATGAAAATGGTGATTATGAAATTTAAATGATTATTGATGAATAACCTATGGATAAAGGACAAACTGTAATAATTAAATCAAATTCATAAATGAATCCTGTTACAGATTTAATTCTTAAAATTAGAGAAAAAAAGCATCACTATAGTCAATAATTACATGAAACTTTGAATTTTATTAAAAGTTACATTTGAGAAAATTAAAGTAGTTTTATTCAATTTTGTTAACTTCATAAATTAAGAATCCAATCGTACCATTCTGATACATCTATATTTTAACCATTTTCATATAGAATTGATACCAATACTTTTTTACTTGGATGATTTATAGGTAATTCACTCTTTATTTTTAATGCTAAATCGAAAAATCTTCTTTTTATATCTTTATCTTCTATTATTGATTAATTTTATAATTTTTTTCTTACTCTTTGAATGATTCTACTTTTTGTAACATTTAATATAAATCAGCAGTATCATATTAACATTAAGTCATTATAATATTCTATTTTTTGATTATAAATCTAATTTTCTCAATTTTATATAAATTCAATGCTTCTTATAAAGCATCCACTCTTTCAATTATTACTAATTAACTATATTTTTTATCAGTTTAATTTTATTAGATTTAGTCCTTTATAAATGATATTCTACAATTAACATCGATAATACTGGTATAAGCCATAGATATTCCAGATGGTTCAAATTTTATCAGAAATGAAACTAGTACATAAATTGGAGATCCTTTTCAAGAAATTCTTCGACCAAAATTGAACATTTTATTCATTTCTTTATAAATTCATAAATCGTTACTTTCTTATTCTTTTAAAATGATATGATACTCTCAATCGATTTAAATATGTAATCTATACTTTTATTCATCTTTTCAATTATTTAACTATAATCATTGCTGATGTTTGTTACATCTTTACGTATTTATTAACTTAATTATCTAATATTCTCTTTTTATTATAAAGAAGATTAATATTCTTTTAATAATCCTAACGCTCTTGTTTTCAATTATGTCATATCTTCATACAACTCATCTTATGTTACTAATATGTTATTAAATGTTACCTTCTTTTATTTACATTAAAAGTCTTGAAACATTCAACCCATTTAAGTCTTCTATGATTGTCCTTTTGTTCATATGCAAAAAATTTCAATTTTACTATTATTATTAGATTTCTTATAAATATTAAATATTTTTTTAATTTTTATAAATTGGAGAGCTACTAATATACAATTCATTATTAAGTAGAATGCATACTATTTGTATATAAATTTCTTATTGCAATTAGAAACAAAAAATTTAATTTATCTATTTGGATTTTCAATTTAAATATAAGATTTTATTAGAGTTCAGTTTAATATATGATTGGTTTATAGTAATTTGTTTTATGTAATATATTAAAGGAGCACGAAATTAATTCAGTAAAAAGAATAATGAATATAAGTTTATAATGGTAAATAGAATAATATATAAAAAAAGTTTAATAAGAAATTTTAATATAAAATGGTAAGGTTCTTTAGAATTAGTTAATTGAGGTAAAAATTATATAAAAAAATTAAGTATAAAATTATAAATAATTGAATTTTATAGTTAATTATTTCATTGAAATATTTGGTATATGAAATTTTACAAACAACTAGCAAAATTTAGGTATATAAATAATAATGTCAATGGAAATAGATGAATTAGCTGAAACAATAATGGATTGTGTTATGAATAGCCATATTATTTCTGAAGAAGGGCGAAATTATATTGAATAGCATATTCCAACAAAACCTCCTGAAACTGATGTTTAATCAGCAAGATTTGATTTATATGAAAAGACAGGGAAAGAAAGAATATAAAAAGTAGCTTTAGTATTTAAAACTCATTAAGAGGCTAGAAGGTAAATTAAATTTAAGATTATAGATGGTATTCATAATTTAAATAACATGCAACAACTCATTAGAAAGTTCATAAGAAGGCTGCACTTTTGGATAATGTTCTATTTAAATATGGTGATTATGGAAAATCATTATTTTAATATGCAGAATACATATGTGAATTTATAGATCAATAACCATTATGTGTATTTTAACATATGATTCCAGATCATGTAAGTGTTTTAAAAATAAGTTTTAGGATCTAAGATTATCTGAAACTCATCCTTATTATTTTAAAATTCATTGGGCTTTTAGAGGATTTATGACACCTTAAACTTCAAGTATGGTAAAAGCAGAAAGGAATCCATCTTTAATGAATAAATTAAAAGATGAAGAAATACCAAGAAAACTTGTTCCAATAGATACTTATATGCGTTCTTTAATGGATAAAAATAATAATAGTAGTGAAGACGATGATGATGATGATTAATGAAAGTTTATTAATATTTCTATCAATCCAAAAAAATATTATCTATTATAAAAATTGGATTTTAGAATCAAATTCCTATCCTTTTATTAAATCAAATTTATTTTTTTAATATTATATTTAATTATAATACTTATTATTTAAATAATTTATTATATGCATAATAAACATAGGATAGTATTCATTTCAGAATCAACATTAGTTCCTCCTAAATAAGTCCCAGAAAAATCTTAATAAGTGGAACCTTTCAGGGTGAATTCAAAAATATAATAACTTGCATAATAGGATTATGATCTACATGTACGTCAATAATTAGAAGAGTTAAAAAAATTTTTAAAAGAAAAACAATAAAAGTTTATAATAGATTATGGAGGTCATGATGATGAAAATACTCAATGTTAATAAAACCTTTTAAAATAATAGAATTAAAATTAGTTAAAATCTTTTAAAAATGATAAATAAATTCTACCTTAATTATGTACCAGTTAGCGTTTTTCAGACATGGTATAAACTTAAAAAATAAGACAAAAATTATAGAATTGCAAATCCATCCAACCACTTAAAAATCAAAGTCGCAAATATATTTCTGATTTTAATTAATCTTCTTTTACAGTTGATTAATTAGAATCTTTAAGTCAAACAGAGGTTAAACAATCATCAGGTATTAATAAATAAACCTTTAAATCAAGATATTAAAGTAGTTTTCCTTCAAAATGTCAATGTAAATACAAAAAAAATGATAGTATCATAAAGTAGTCTAATAATAAAGTTGTGATGAATTTACAAATGTTTTAAATAGATTTTATTCACAAAAATGAAAAAAAAATAAGAAAAACTGTCTATTGCTAATCTGATTTTGAAGACAATAAGGACGAAAAGAAATTGAAGAAATAATAAACTTTTCCTTTTATTAAATTAAATTAATAGATTGGTAAATAAGAAGATCAATTACTTAATCAAACAGGTAAATTTTGGACAAGTTCTATGATTGATGCATATGCTAATTATTTAAATGGTAATGATGAAAAATATTATTTTTCATTATCAAAATAATAAAGATAATGCCATCAAAGACTTTATATTTTTACTTCAGATTTTATTACTAATTGTAGTTTGGGTTCCAATCCTTCAAAAGAAAAATTATTATTGTTAATTTTAGAAAAATTAGAATATTTTAAAAAAATTTAGTATTAGTTTTGGATTATTTATTAAAAAATTGTCTTTGTTGTAAATTAGAATAATATTCATTGGTATTTAGTTACAGTAGATTTAAATGAAAGATTTATTTATGTTTATGATTCTTTATTGGGAGATAAATATCATTATTAATAAGTTAAAGAATTATTGACATTTTTTTTTATGAACTTTAGAAGAATCAATTAGATGAATAACAAAAAAAAGAATTTTAATTCAAACTTATCAAAAAGAGAAATTTTGAAAAATAAAATGATGGTTATTCTTGTGGATACTTTACTTGTATTGCTCTTGAATATTTAAGTAACGTAAATTAAAATAAAGATTATAAAAAGAAGCATTAAATTAAAGAAATTTTAAAATAAATTTTATTATACGGAATTGTAGAGGAAGAGGAAAATAAATGATTTTTAATATGATTAAAATTATAATTATTTATTCAATAATAATTGAATGATAAAAATTAAAATAACCATTAAAAATAGTAGCTATTTCTTAACAATAGAAGAGATTTAGATTAATATAAAAAACAAAATACATTGAAAAAACAACTCCAAAATAAATGAATTTTATTCAATTAAAATCCTGTAATGATATTATTGAAATATTTCAAGATTAAAAAGGATAAAAAATTCTTAATGAGAAATTGAAACAATTTGAAAATTTAAAAAAAGTAGTTTTAAATATAATAGAAACCAAAAATATGCAATATATCAACGAAAGGTTTGCTTTTTGAATAGTATAATTATTGATATATATGTACTATTATAAAATTTAAGATGTATATACTTTCTTTATCTCAAAGAAATAATAATAAGAAATTATTATTCTTTTCTCCATATCTCAAATAGAAATTAAATGAATAAAATAGTTGCTTGCTTTAATAAAATTACTGATATAACAGATAGTTTTGAGATCTATAAATAATTAATTTAATGTTACTAAATTACATTAATAATTTGTGAAGTGAAAATGAATTAAAATGATTCCTTATTTAAATCTTCTTTAGAGCTATTTTAATTTAATATTTTAAAATTAAATAGATTAAAATTTCAAAAACAGTTAGTAGAATGGTATCAATTTTGGATATTTTATCTAAATATTTGAGTTAATTGTAAAATGAGACTAAAAATTAGTATTGATAAAATAAGAACTTTTGCAACTTTATTATATTAAAAGTAATAAATAAAATTATTAAATCTTATTTAATTATGATTCTATGATTTGAAGTAGTTTTCTTTTAGATAAGACTTTTTAAATCATTATTAAGTAATGTTTATTAAAGAAGAAGGTATAAGAATTCTTTACATATTTTCCATATAATATAATAATGAAGGTAGTAAAATTTAAATGAAGAGTAATTTGATTATAATTTAAAAGTAATAAGAGTTAGCGTTTAGAAAGAAGAATGTTTAGGATAATATTATATAGTTATTAATAAAAATAAATTTTAGAATGGGAAACAGTATAATAATAAATGTTAATTAGATATTTGTGGTATTGATGAAGAAAAAAAGTAAAGTTTTTAGCCAGAATCAAAAGTTATAACAACAAGAACCATAAATTAAACAACCATATAGATTGTATAAGCAGATATTGTAGAGGAATTGGTTGATGTAGTAGGTAAATAAAAAAGTAAATTTTAGTGAATTGCTCTCATGAACCAGCTTGGTCTTATATATCAAAACGGTAATAGTATATAAAAATATTGATTAGTGATAAAAATAATAAAGCAAATGAGATGCTCTAATAAAGTATAAATGCAGCTGTATAACAATAGTGAAAATTGGAGAGCTTATTGTAACAAATACAGAAAATGTAAATTCAGTTTAAATATTTCATGTAAGACTGCCATTTTACTAGGTATTAAATTTACTTAAATATTTAAAAGGATGCAAAGGACTTATAACAAATATTTAATGTATACAAAGAATGTTTGTAACAGAAAGGACATAAAACAATATCATTTACTGAATAGAGCACTCCAAATTTTTAGATTCCAAAGTAATTTCATGCTGAAGTATTGATAAGAGCAATCCTTTCGTAATAATACTTAATAAATGATTAGAGCAATATAAGAGGGAGATATAGAATTTGAATTGATAAAGTTTGTGAGTTTAGATCAATTGACTCTAAAATATTTTGCTTATGAGTTGATGAAATAATTAGATGAATTAAAAATTCCTGAATTATTTAAACAACGATATCAATAATTTCTAAACTTTTTATGTATAGAATTAGTTTATATATGAATTTAGAGAACGGAGAAGATACTAAACAAGAGGTTTATCTTTTGAGTACTGGGATTACTACAGAAATAGAAGCTGTTGTAGAATAGTAATGAAAACTTTTAGTTTAAATAATTTATTATTATTCAAATATTATATATATATATATATATAATTAAATACTAAATTACATAAATTAAACATAAGAATCATTGTTGAAATTGAACTTTTTGAGTAAATTCAATTTCATAACCTGACAAAACTTTTATAACAGCAATAAATTATTTTCCTGGAGGTAATTCAATATTGAGTGTAACACCTCTGTATGGTTTACAAAATCTAAGTCCATAAAATTTATGAAATGATATTTTGCTAATTAATTTAACACTAGATTAGTTATCAATAAAATAATAACCCCATCCATCTAATCTATCTAAATTATAACAACTTTGAATTTTTGGTTATCCCATAGTATCATAGCTTCTTTTAGGTTGTTATAATAAACCTTTTTTAATGAAGACACTGGAAAGCATATCAGGAATCTTTTTTATTTATTTGAATTCTAATTTTTCAATTCCATATGAAGAGATAACAAAGAAAAAATCTTAATGATGCTCCCAAATGACTTTAGCAAAAATAATATATTCACCTTTACTCAAAGTACACTTACACCAAACTTCACCAAATTAACTAAATTTACCATTAATATAGGTATAATTATTGTTTTCTTCTTTTTTACAAATTAATAATTTGGCATAGCTATATTTTGGATTTCCTGCCCATCTTTGATTTCTTTGATTGATTGTGATGTAATAATCTCCTTCCTTTGTAATATTGAAAGAATAATAGACAGCCTTCTTTTTATTAGACTTAATTTAAGTAGCTGAATATTAATAATTTTGTTTAACATGACAAGTATGTATATCTCTAAATTATTGCATGAATGATCCAATATCCATATAGAATACACCAGAATCTTCAGTATCTAATTTAAGTTCTTATCTTAATTAAGGAGTCCATAATGGACTATCTTATCCCCAATCTCCAGTCCATTCTTTTTTTCCCCAAGGATTCCTTAATTTAATAAGTTCAACTTAACCTCTTTTTGGATGATTGATTTATTTAATTTTAAGAACAGAATAGGCATGATTAGGTACTAAACCTTAAGTTATAGGTTAAACATCACTACTTTATGTAGCTGCTACCATAATAACTTTATTAGCTAGACATCTTCTTAATAAAGTAATAAAATCAGGTGATTAAGTCCAGATAACTTCTGTAGGTGCTCCTGTTAATGCTCTTAATACTTCTTACATTGAACCAGAAGAACTATTCTAATAAGATCCAAATAATTTAGCCCAAGCTTTTTCTAATACCATAACCCAAATAGCATTGTTTTTAGCTTTAGTAAATATTGGTGTTAAATTTGGATAGACTGGAAAATAATCATCCACATGAATAGCTTTCCATAAACCATCTATACATAATCTTACACAATATATTCCTTATTCATTTATAGCTCTAGTTATAAATACATCTAATAATAGATCAGGTCTTCTATTTCCTAAAGCAGATATTGAAGCAAGTAAATAACAATTTCCTAATTATCCTTGAATTATATCTTGAGGACCAATATATTTACCAAGACCAAATCTTTTATTATCATTTGCCTTTGCAAAAAATTAATAATCTCCATTAAATATGTTATTGAGTCTTTCCCAATTAACAGAATAATTAGATCCTACACTTTTTTCATTTGGACCGAATTTAAGATCAATATAATTCTTTTCTTTAATTTTTAGTTCATCAAAAGTCTTAATAAATTCATTCATATTAGATATTTACATATGTTATAAAGTTACTTCTTCAAATTAAAATTTACTAATAAGAATATCTTATTAATCAGTGGATGATTATTATCTTTTAAGTTTAAGTTCTTCAACTTCACCTAATTAAAATGTCACATATGTCAACATAAATTAATTTAATTATTCTTAATTAATTTACCATCCACAATCTTTAACAAAACAAACACAATAATCATCATAATATTTTTAAAGGCAATCATAACATAATCTATGATCACATATTTCATTATGAAACAATCCACTATTATTTTAATTACAATAATCACATTTATAAGAGATAGATTGAGTCATTCTATCTTCAATATTAACTTTAATTTCTTGCTTTTATATTTATATATTTTATTGTATCTATTTCTGTTATTATTGTTGTTTTGGTGATTACATATTTTATTAAGTTTTTTTTTATTGATGTATTTGTGCTTATTATCTTTATTAACCTTATTATTGTTATTACTATTAAATCATCTTTGTACTATTTTATTACTTAAGAACCCTATCAGTTTATTTCTACATTTAAGATTTTGATTTAGTTTATATTACAACTGGAGAACGTTCTTAAATTGATCTTCTTGCCTGAGTATTCTTCTATTATTTAAGTGGAGTATTAGAATTTTGATTATTCTATTTTGTTGTACCTGCTTTGTTCTATTAAGATGGTGATGCTATTATAATATAGTTATATTACTCATCTTTTTAGGATCTCCTGAAAACATTGTAATCTATTTCCCAAATACCATTTGATTACTTCCAGATAATTTTTAAAATTGTCTATTCATTAAATCTGAAATGTTTAAGAAATTAGAGCATTATTTTTCTGAACAATTTGCACCTCCTTCTGCAGTTATTTGATCAATACATTTGTTACAATATAGATGTCCACATTTTGCTTTATAAGATGAACTTTCCTTTGTATCTGATAAACATTTTACACACTTTAGAGATTTTATCATTATAAATATTTATATTTTTAAGTGAATTCATTATAACATTTATCATAAATCTAAAATAGATTTCATCAGATTCATTTTTCTATAATTTCAAAATTATCTCCCATTAACACTCATTCATTTGACTCTTAAACTTCCTATACGATATCATTCAATTATTTTTGTATGGATTTCCTAGGTATTTAATAACTAATCTTTTCACTCTTCCTACTCTTTTCTTTGATAAGATGAAAATCTATTTAATACTCTACTCTACCTTTATATATCATTAAAATTTTGCCCAAAATATGTGTTACTCATTTAAACCAACTTCAATATATCTTTGTTATCTTTAATAATTTCCTTTATTAATTATTTCATAATTCATTTTCATATTACTAATCCCCTTATCAAGGATTTCTCAACTTAAATTATTTTTTATTTACATTTAAATTCTTTTTTTAGCATTTATATATGTCCTTATATTAATACCATATTTTTCTAATTCTCTTATTTAGATTAACATACCTGGAATTATCACACAACTTTTTTATCTCTCAAATAATCTCTTGCACTTTCATAAATAAAGTCTTAAATGCCATAGTCCATTTCTAATTCTTCATACTTCTTTAAGATGCTTCAATTTCAATAAAAATTCAAATGCCTCAACTACTTTCATCTATATTTATACATCATCCTCTTTTTGTGAATACTACAACTTATTCATTACAATTTTGGAATATAATCATGCATTTCAATTAATTTCTCTATATACATAATTTAACACCATTAATTACATTTATATTCTTCATGAATTCCTGTATACTTTTCCATCAAATTTTTTACAATTTTTTACTCTACTTTTTTCATTAGAACTACCCTAAAATCTATTATCTATAACAATATTATTAAATTTTTAGGCCAGATCAAATTTATTAAATAAATCAATATTATATTAAGTCTATTGATTATCTATTAAATTTCTCAACTTACTTATTTTTATTAATCTTATCTTAATACTTTAGTATGAACTATATTTATTTACTTTGATTGTTTTAAAATTTTAATCGAATTTTCGGTTCTTTTCAAACTAAGCTTCAATAAATACTAAAAGGAATAATCTCAAACTATTTTATTATTTAGATAATCCAATTTCGAATGAGAAATTAAAAATTTGATAAGTTTGAGGATTAAAAATAACAATTTCAAAAACTTTATTAATGAATTATGTTTTCAATCAATATTTATTTTTTATATCTTTTTTCCATAATAACATCCAAGAAACAAAATATTATAAGATAATAAAAATCTAAAAAAAAGATTATGGAATGATAATTTAGCTAAGAATTATTTCATTTTTAGAAAAATATAGGTTAAAGGCAAATCCATATATTCTTTACATTTTAAAAGAGTCTAAAAAAAAAAATGGTTTTATTAATATGTCTAAAATTATTTTTATATTTTGGTTTTAACTATCATAATTGAAAAATTAGCATATCATCTATTCCATAAAAGAATAATTTAGCTCTATAGGAGAATTCAATTCTTATTCAGTCATTTAAATTCTTATTTTTTCTTTCGCTAAGAAAATTCTTATCAATTTTTGCTTCTTGAAGAATTATTTATATATCAAATCATAATAGAAAGTAATACTAAAAAATTGATCAACATCTTCGATTATTTCATTATTCTAATACCTGACAAATTACTGACTTAATTTTCAATTAATTTATTTCATTTTCATCTGAAACTTAAATTCTGTTATTCTGATCAACCATTTATAAATAATTTTGATAGAGCAAATAGTCTAAATCTTCTTTTTTAATTAGACTGTTTTTACAACTTCTACATGAGGTGCACTCTATATAGCTTACAAAATTAAATTCAAAAATTGATCTTAAACAATATAAACATAAACTGTTTGTACATGAATTAAATCCAACACGCATTGTTGAAGGACATGATCGATTACAACAAAATTAAAGAGTTTCATCATTTTATTTATAATTACCGATATACAATACTTAACAAAATTCATTTAAGTATTAAGAATCATTATTACTCCAATTTTATTATAAGGAAAAAGAATATTTATCTCTTTATTCGTTAATGTAATTAAAGTCATACAAGCTAAACTATTAAAAATATTAGTTTTCTATTATCCATTCATCTAAGTAATCATAGTCTTGATAAATTTTAAAGTATTTTTCCTCAAAACATACTTCTAAATTATTTAACATAGTTAAAATCTTTTTTGTATTTAATGGAAGCACTTAATTTAACAACAATTCAACATTCTATGATTAGCTTATATTTACTTATTTATTCTTTTCAATATATTAATTAATAATTGGTGCATGATCTTCTATTTATTTAAAGTTCTCATTATGGTCTAAAATTTCTGCAAAATGGATATATCTTGAATCTATTTCTAAGTCATTTTATTAAAATATTTAATAAAATTGTTAGCTGTTCTAACATTCTTCTAGTGTTTTAAAATATAATAGCAACTATGCCTATTACTAACTATTTAATAAATGACTCATTGATTAAGATTATTTTGGTAGTAAATATACGTTTACAAAATACCAGATCATAAAATTTATTTTTTTTTGAAGACTCACATTTTTATATTTTAAAGTTATCGTCTCAAATATTATTATTATTAGTTGAGAAAGTAGTAATTATTTGGGCATTATATTTATAATTATTATTATAAATAATATAATATATATCAATATTTTTCATCACACTTAAAGCATGTTTTATAATTTTATAAAATACAGCATACCCCAGATATGTGTCGATTACAATATAAAGGAACTGGCAGATTGTAATCATTAAAAATAGAATTACAAAACATGCATTGCTGTGATTAGTAAATATTTTAAGATTAAGTTTATTAGTCTTTTATCGAATTATAACTCTTTTAGCTTTCGGTCGTAATTGTTTTTGTAATAATATTATTAGTGTCTTACCCGAAAAAAATTTTTTTATCTGTAGACTTCTATTAATCTAAAAATTAAATTTTATCCTTGGAAACAAATTCTTGACTATTTTATTTTTACAAGAAATGTCCAATTAAATTTTCATTCAATAATTTCTTGCATAATTTAACACAACAAAAATATTATTTTTTATTTTTATAAATAGGTAAGAGACATTAATAACATAACAAATGACAACATGTCTTATTTGCCATGATTTAATTAAACGTATAAATATTCTAACAATTGTCACAATTGAATTTGCAAGCTTATTTAAAATTTTAATATTCAACTGTATCAAAAAGTACCAAACATTTATTACATCTTAATTCAAAACCATTTAAACGTAAACAACATTTACTACAAATCTAATGCCCGCATTTGATTTAAAACAATAAATCAGTTTCATTTAATTAATTGCAATATGAACATCTTTATTTTGATTTTGTGCTACTTGTAGAACTTTTTGTACTTGATATAGATGTCTAAGTTAAATTCATTAAACTTGACTGATGTTCAAATTAATTTGTATTTTATTGTTTCTTCTTCTACTATTCATTCAAAATGTTTTTATGAGCTTTAATTATTTCTTGATCTTATAATATATTAATTTAATAATTTTTATAAGCTCTCCATTTAAATTTAAATTAACATGATTTCTATAGACAATTATACTCTTTTTGTTTAATTTGTATCAAATTTTAAAGGCATTAATAACAAAATTTATGATTACATAATGGTATTTAAAATAATTCATATTTTGATTGATTTTAACACTTTTAACATTTATCAACTGAAAGACTCCAATCAAGCTCTAATTCTTATTCATCATTAAAAATATTCTTAATTACATTATTTTCCTTATTTTTTGAATTGTTTAATCTACAATCCAAACAAATTTAATCTTCATTATCTGCTTCTAAAATTCCTAAACTATTTTTGCAATATTTGCAATAATTTAGATAATCAAATTCACATGAAGGTTAATTACATGAATTTTCTAATGATGTAAATGATATTTTTTATTATTCTTATTTAAATTTTTGGTACTACAATTTAGAATAAGTTCCAGTACAATTAGAAACTTAGCAATAATAATCAGTGAAATAATTAAAAGCAAAAACTTTTTCAATACATGTACCACAAAGATTATGCCAACAATTTGTTATTCTAAATAATTGATATGTAAATTTTTAATAACAGTTATGACATTCGTTTTCTGCTTAGAATTATTTATTAATTTTTTCTTTTTCCTGATCTATATCTAAATTTATTTATTTTTTATAAGTTTCATATTCATTTTTAGAAATTTTATTAAAGCAAGCTAAACAATAGCATCCTCCACAACTCTAATTTAAGAATTCTTTACTTATACAATCAAAACAAAATTTATGTTAACAATTTATTACAATAAAATAAGGCTTATTTGATTCTCTCTTGCATTCAAAACAAATATCAGTTAATTATTCTATAGCTCTATTTGTTTCATCAAGCAACGAATATTATATTTCTGTTGTAGTTAATTATTCAGCTGATGATAAATTTAGCTATTTAAATATGCTTGTACGTATTACACTCTTTCTTTAAACTAAATAAGAGCTCTATTAATGATAAAACTATTCTAATATTAAATTGAATTGATTATCTCTTGCTATAGAATTAATTTCATTTTAAAGTTGTTCAATCTATATTTTTAATACAACCTATCCACATCTACAATCAAAATTACCCATCTAATTCTTAGATTTTTCTTTCAAAAGGCAGTTCCAACATATTATATGATTACAGTAGAGTTTCATAAATACAAATACTTATCTACTGCAATGAAAACAAACTAATTATGTTTCTAACTTAAATTATGGTTCTGGTATAATAAAATAATATTCATCATTCTCTTAAATTATTATTACATTTCCAATGCCTTTTCCTATTCTGTTTAATGATGGTAATATGATTATATTTAAATCTAAAAAGTTAACCATGTAATTCAAACAAATTTAACCCTAATAAGTTAATTAATAAGAGAAACAAAAATCTTAAAGGAATATTTCTATCATCAGATTATTCTTATCGATTACTTCAAGTTTTTCGAAAAAACTTTATATTGGATTTTCTTCTTATAAACTTTCTTTAAAAATTTTAGCAATTTCTTTTGATTATTATTGTTTATAAAGAGTTTTTGAACTTTTAAAGTATTCTAGACTTCTGCTCATTCGACGATTTAGAAGATAATGCAAGATCGAACACGTTATTGCTGATAATTTGTTTTCACCCAAATATTGGCATAAATAATAATCTTTCAATTACGGGTATTGAGATTTTATTGTATCTGATATTGGTATTATTTAATACATGATTGAAATAAAATAAAATAAAAAGAAAAATAAAAATTGGATTAGGATTAAGTTAAAAAGATATTGAAATAATATTGTTCCAAAATTGTAAAATTATTACGATAATTCATTGAAATTTAATTGGATATCCTGATAGATATTCTCTTTTTGGCTATCCATATAAATTTCCTTAAGTATATCTGGCATAATTATGTTTTTCATAATATTAAGTGTTATAGACTTATTAATTATAATGATGAGGAGATCTTTATAAAGTTAATTCATTTCGATTTCGAAGATCATTTCTTAATTGAGATCTATCATCTGTAAATTTTTGACTTTCAGAAACTCTTTTATTTAATTAGTCAATTGTAGCATTTCTTTTGTATGCTGAACCTTGATTTTATTTGTATTTTTCTATGTTTTCAAAATTTGAAGGTTATCTCTAATAAGTTTATTGGTATGACTAAGGATGATAATTTTATTAAGAGGGCTTAATAATAGTTGAATCAAAAATATATTCTATTTCAACAGGATTGGTTGGTAAAATAAGCTTTTATTTTATCAAAATTGCTTTTTACGGTTCTTGTTCACATTAAGGACAATTTTTAAAATTTATAAATATGCAACAAACTCCTATTTAATGGCATTTACAATTTATCTCTTATCTTTTATTATAAGTAGAAAATTCTTGATAACATTTTGAACAATTTCCTTTACATAAATCATTTTCCTTTTCTTAGGTTAAATTGATTTCTTCTATTTATTATTTAATACATTATTCATCTTAATTTTATCCTTCAAAAACAGAATCAGCTTCTAAAAAATTTTGTTTTTATTTTTCTAATTTCCTTTATTTATCATTTAAAAGGACATTTTGTATTTTTGATCTATTTGACATAATAATTTAATTTTTTTATTTTGATTCTTAATTCTTTTTCTCATTTTCTTAATTTTCATAATCAACTTTTTATATTTCCTTTATCGTGATTACAGAATTTTAAGTAGATATAGATTTTTCTTCCTCATTTTTGTTTTCTTAACATTAATTTCTATTGCTAAGATTAGTCTTTTCAATAATCTTTTCTTCTTCTTTAATTTCCTTATTTAATTTATCAATTTAATGCTCTTCATTTAGACTTAATTTTACATTATTCTCCTATTTAATTTAATTTTCTTTATTTTACTATGTATCCTAATCAATAATAAAAATAATTAAATTGTCTATCTAATTTAAAATCAATTATTTGCAACTATTTACCAAACATCTATGGATTTGTTAAGAATATATCTTTTAACAACATTATAAACAAAATTTATGGTGGCAATTCAAAATAAATATATTTTTGACAAGAAATGTATTTTAACAATCTTCACAATTTATCTTAAGATTGTTTCTAAAATTTTAATATTCTTTATCTTAAGCTGCTATAGAACAACACTTCATAATTAATTAATTTTCAATGACACATTTCTAACAGATAACATTACCACAATTTAAAATATATTACATATCTTCATTTTGTAACTTTAAACAATTTTAGCATTTAAAATCTTTATATTTAGGTATGTTAACATTTTCTTGATATATTTCTGATTTAGAGGCATCCTATAAATATTGAATATAATTTTTATATTCTTTTAGTGTAAAAGTTTATTTACAATTTTAGACTAAGCAAAATTTATAAAAAGTATTGAATATTCCAACAACTTATAAACAAGTATTGCAAATTCTATGATTACACTTTGTTATTTAAAATAATTTATAGGATAAAGTTGTATTGCACTTAGAGCATTATTCATTTATTATTGATTGTAACTCTTTAGGACGGTTTGAATTCTATTAGTTTATTTATTCGGATTAATTTATAGGTTCTTTATCTTTATTTTCTTTTTTAAATTAAAGTAAATAATTTTAATATTCCTTTTAATCTATCCTTGTTTTACATTTTGTAACATGACAGTATGTGTAATGTGAATTTTGAAGCATACAATCATAACAATATTGATGTTGACAATCCTTTTAGATAAATAATTAGGTTTTAATTTTTTTATTGCATAAATCACAACTTTTTAAAGAATCATTTTGAATCAATTCAGCCTTATTGCTATTACTATTTTATAAAGTATTTTAAACTAATGATTTTGAATTATCATAATAATCTAACAAAGCTTTACTTCTTTTATTGTATTCTTTAAATATAGTTTACTATTCTAATTTATTTTACAAATATATTTCATTATATTATTATTAACAACACTTGTAATAAGTTTTAGTTTGTATACAAAAGGTACAGAGTTTATGTTAACAACTTAATTTTATACAATCAGAATAATTTTTGCATTAAATACAATAGTCTAATGGAAGTTCATAAAATATTGGTTCAGGAATTAAATAAAAGAATTTTTTATTTTATGCCTAGTAGAGATCAATTTTATTTTCATAATATCCATAAGATTCATTAGCTTTCAGAAATGAAATCCTAATATTTAAATATTTTGCTAAACTGTAATAATTTATATTATTTCCAATAAGTAATCTCTATTAATTACATAATTCATATAATATTTTTTCAGCAATTTCATTTTATTAATCTATCATATAAAAATTTTAAAAGAACTTCTAAACAGGATTCAATTGATCTATAGAGTCTGTTATTAATGATGCAATTTATGAATAAATTGGTCTATTTTAAATGGAAATTAGAAATTTATAGATAATATTCAGAATTTGTTATTATTTTCTATTGAATGCAAAATGAATTATGGAAGTTAATAAAGCAGCATTTTTATTTTATCCCATGTATTGCAAGTATTTGTAATTTTTAAGAAATATATTTTCACTTCTGTCTTGTTCTGTAATAGGGCATATAAAAAATAGTTAAATTTCTTTAGACATTTAATAATAATAATTTATTTTTTATAGAATTTTAGAATTATGTTATATGATAGTTTGATTGTATATTTGAAAACAAATTAGGCTTTAGAGCAAAATCAATCATGTTTTTCTTCTTTTTCATTTTAAGAAAGTGGTAAATATAAGGATTTAATTTCTTTAACTTTTTAAATAGAATATAGTATAGATCCTAAATAGCTGACAATGATTCCTGCAAGAATTTAAAAGTCATACTCTTCTTTCAAGAAGAAAAAAGAGTAGGAAGTAATTAAAATATCCTTAATATTATGAGTGATTGCAATGGCAATAGGAGAATTGTACATATTGCATAAATTGGTTGAATAACATAACAGGAATCCCATCAATGAAACTAATGTGAAAGCAAGAATGAATTACTAATTTAAGTAATAAGAATTCATAAAGTCATGCAATTCTTAACTTGCATAAGCTCCAATAAATAGAAAAGGAATTTAATTACAAGAATTCTAGAAGAGTAATTCAAGAGGCTCTATTTATTTTTCATTATTCAATTGTTTAGATTTATGCAACGCAAGAGCATTAAAAACATTATTCAAAAGAATGAGTCCATAACCTAAATAGTTTTCATCTAAATGTTCTTAACCTTAAAATATTACATAAATTTAATGTACCAGCTATTATTGCTCCAAGTGTTATGAAAATAACAGACATGAAATTTGAGATCTTCCAACTCTTTTACATTAGAAATACAAATAAAATTAGAGTTCTTCTTAATGTCATATACATTGAAATATTCATTATTTATAATCCCTTCATTCCAGAAAATGTTTGAAGGGAATACATAAATGAATACAACAAAGTATCTTTAGATGTATGATTTCTTTTTCCCAAAAACAAACAAATTAGAGCTGTTAGAATATTCTCATACAATAATAACTCTAAATAAATAAAGTACTTTACCAGGAATGTCATTCTGAATTGAAATTCAATCCATAAGTATTTCACACTTAGAGAAAAGCAAAATGAGCATCCACCATATAATATACAATAAAACAAACCTTATATATGTTTCATATTAATAATAATGAAGAACTTAAATGAAATATTATTAGATTAAGGGGAAAAATAATAAAACTATATTACATAATATTGTGTACCAATAAGAATTCTAGGGGTTGGGTCATTCTCTACAGTGATTGAAGCTTAGAATTAGTTATCAAATAAATCAGTAGCAATAAAAATAATTGACAAAAAGCATTTTGATTCTTAATAATTAGAAGTATTGAGAAAATAAGCTCAAATACTTAATCAATTAACTCATGAGAATATTGTTCGTGTTACTTTTGTATTATTGAACACTTATAATAATAGAATAAAGAAACAAAGAATAAACTATATATAATGATGGATATAATAAACGGAGTTACATTAGAATAATATTAGAAAAAGAAATTGGATAATTAAACAGTACTTTGTGTAACCAAATAAATACTTGAAGCAATCAAATATTTGCATTCTAAAGAAATTATTCATAAAGAAATAAAACCTAGTAAAAATAATTTTGAAATAGAAAATATAATGATTGATCCCTAGAGTTTACATGTAACATTAATAGCTTTTGGATTATCAGCATAATTGGGCTATATGAATGGTTCAGGAATTATAAGTAATAGTTGTGAAACCTTTTTATATATTGCACCTGAATAAATCTAGAATAAAAAATACAATAGAGTAATTTTATATTCCTATGAATATAGAGTGTAGATATCTGGGCAATAGGTATGGTTGTGTTTAATTTATTCAATTAAGGGAGGAATCCATTTTTTTAATAGATAGATGATAAATAGATTTATTTTGAAAAAATTAGTTTGATGAAATGCAATTAAGTTTCTAAAATTAATGAACAGGCAATGAATTTCCTTCATAAAACTATTGCTTATCATCCAGAAGATCGATTAAATATCAATTAATGTTTAGAACATCCATGGATTAATGGTAAAAATGATAAAACATGCACTATTAAAATTATTTTAAAGGCTCATAAAATATACTAAAAAATTAAACATTTGATTCAACTTTTCCTATTTCTTTAATATATTAAAAAGGAAAGTAGACATATAAGTCCTCCAATCCGAAACTCGACTAAATAACCAATAACACCTATTGATAAAATGAAATTAACATTATGTATAAGACCTAAACTCAATAGTAAGAATACTTCTAATTCTGGAGAAAAAGCTAATTAATTTAATGTTGAATCTTAATCAGTTGGTTCTAATAAAGCTATTAAATGGACTGATAATATTATTCTTAAATCAAAAAAAGAGAGAAAATCATGTGATTAACTTAAGAAAATATTTTAAGTGTCTAGAATAGAATAACATTTCTTATTGCCCAAATTACATAAGTCTTTAGATCGTTATGTAAAGTAATATCAAATAAGCGAAACAGAATGTGATAATTAGACAATATATTAGTAATATGTTCAAAACACATTATTGTAAATGAAAAAAGGTGAATAAAATAAGAAGATAGTGCAGGAAGTATCAATACTTCTTTATTGAATAGGATTAGAATTCAAATAAAATTTAAAGAACATAAATTCAGATTACTTAGGGAGAATAGAGGAATCAAAGAATCAAATCATCAAAGCCTCCACTCTAAAGAAAAAACAATTTTTAGTGAAAATCTTCATGATTTAAACTTTAAATGGACTTTATAATAATTATTATTAAGAATGTGTTATTTTAATGAACTCAAACTTTTGTTTAACTAAGAAACCTAATACAATCCTGAACTAAATCGATTTGAAATAAAAAGTATTTTAGGCAAAGGTGCTTTTGCTACAGTTTTCTCTGCACTTGATAGAATGCTTAAGACATAAGTAGCAATAAAAATGGTAGATAAAAAACTTTTCAAAAATAAGGAACAAGAAGATACTATAAGATAAGAAGCCTAGATGCTTAAAACACTCTAACACAATAACATAGTCAAAATCTTGGGAGTAAGAATTTTGATCATTAACATAACTTAAGTTTTTCGAGACTACTTTGAATTTCTTTATTGTAATGAACTAGATAGATGGAATCACTTTGTATAGCCACATGGGTAATATCAAATCAACTGAAGTGGTTTCTATCACAAAATAGATTCTTAAGGCTTTGAGTTACTTACATTAAAGAAACATTGTTCATAGAGATATCAAACCTGAAAATATTTTAATAAGTAGTTAAGGTTGTGAATCTAAAGTTACCTTAATAGATTTTGGTTTATCTGCATCTTTAAATAGAATTTAAAATTCTATAAATGGTTTGATGTATCAAAATTGTGGAACATTGTTATATCAAGCTCCTGAATTAATTAGGAAAGCTAATTACACAAGAGTATATAATCATAATATACAATTAGTCAGTAGACATATGGGCACTTGGCATAGTTGTGTATCAAATGTTAAATAGAGGTTTGCATCCATTTTATTAATATAGTGATACAAAAAATACTTATGAGAATAAAATCAAAAATTTGTCTATAAACTTTTAATTTCATGATAATAGAGATATTAATAACTTTTTAAAACGAACAATAGCTTATTTACCTGAACATAGACTAACAGCTGATTAATGTCTTGAACATCCATGGATTACAGGGATGGGTGATATTTCACTTCCTATTACATTAAATGAAATCATTTAATATTAGGTAGAAAAGCAAAAAAATATTATTAAATATATTAAGATCATCTTGTTTTTAAAATACTTAATTTTATCATCATCCTGTTATAAAACTAATTATAAATTTTATAATAATTAGTTTATTTAAACAGGATCTTTGACAGAACATGTATCTGATTTATCTACTGCAACTATTAATTTTAAGATACGTCCATTATAAATCAAATCATAGACAAGGTTAGATTAGTTAGAAAATAATGATACTTTAAGCAATAGTAGTAGAAATACAAGTGATTTGTTCTCAGATACAATAGCTTAAGTCAAAACACCTGATAATAAAAACAATTTTAGGAAAAGCAATTCAATCAATCCATAAGAAATGTCAAATCAAATTATTTAAACGAATTAGAAATTAGTTAAATTCACCAATAAAGATATTTCTCAATTATATAAGACTAAAATATTGAAAAACACTGAAGTACATCAACCAACTAGTTCAAGATTACATCATGATAGTACTTGGAACTAATAATAAAATAACAATCAAAAATCTAGATTGAGAAATATGCAACATCCTAAATTATCAAGAAAACCTACACAATTATGAAATTATTTTTATATTCAATCTTAAATTATTAGATAACTCACCTTATTCTTAAGATGCATTTTAATCAAAAATATTAACGAGGAATTTTATCTTCAAAAAATTTTACTTAAATTTAAATGATTTAAAATCAATCAAATCTTTAATCTTTTTTCTTTTAGAATAAAAGATTTATATATAATATCGAAATGCCAATATTATTTTTATTTGTGCATTATTTAAGAATAAAGTAAAAACCTCAAATTTTGATAAAATCAAGTTGTTTCCAAGAAATTATCCAAAGGAATGGTTGAAAAAAAATATTTTTAATTATATAAAAATCCATTTAACAGCTGTAAACTTTTTGAATTTAATAATTCCATAAAATATAAGGTAAAAAATTGTACAATAAATAAAATATTGATAAATCATTAATCGACTTAAATTTTAGTATCATTCTGATTAGGCTATGTGTTACTATCAGGTTCGTTTTCTGGATAAATCAATAAATCAAAATCTGAGTCCTTAAACTTTTATATATAGGTGAAATTATTATTATCTTGTACTTTTTATAAATTTGGAATCAATTTGGATTCAGTTTAAGAAATAGTTTGAAGGTCATTGGATTGAATAACTGGTGGACTTGTATTATTATTAGGAAGCTTAAAATAAAATAAATAAAAATACAATAGAGTTTAATTTATATTGGTATTCTTAATTAACGCTTTAGTCAAGCTTACTAATATTCTATTGTTCTTCCTTAGCACAATCAGCATATTGAGATTGTAAAGGAATTCCATGTGTATGAATTTATTAAATAAGTTTGGGTGGTAAAACATTTTAGATTAAAAATTATAATCTTGAGATTTCATAAATTTAATTAGAAATTGTAAGTTTAATTTCACTAACATGTGATAATTTTTGGTATTGATTTTTAAAGGCTTATAAATCTAATAATTTTCCATTTTTTTCAACTTTTTTAATATACCCAAAAATATTCTTAGTAATTTTAACATTTTTGAATTCAGGATAATACATTTAGATAACATTATTAATTGCTTCAAATTCTAATTGATTTTAATTTAATATAATGACCAAATAGGATAATAGAAGAAGAGATGATGCAATAGATCCTGCTTCAGCAAGAACTCCACTGATTTTAGTATAAACAACTGAAATTTCATTTTAAATATTATCTATTTTATACAAGAATGCCATATAAACGTTATATCCAAACAATCCACTATAAAATTCTAAATCTAAAGTAGCACTCACAACACGATATTCATTAATGTACATATAATCAGTAATGGATTCAAACAAAAAGCCTGTGTCAACTTATGTTTAAGTGATTTAAACATAGGTTTAGGTTTGAAATACTTTAGTAGATTGAAATGGAATGATTTATTCTCTTCCAATAGTTTCCAGAATTTCAGTTTTAGTATTATATTCTTTAGCATAATGTTTAACAATAATAGTGTTAGTTGGTTATGATTGAAATTTTTAAATAACAGTTTCATTTGCACATTTCTATCCTTCCTATAAAAAATATTCAAGACATGCTCCAAAGGTGAGCATAACTTCAAATTGTGGATTAGCTTCATTTAATGTATCACTTATAGATAAAGATAGATTTGAAAAGCTTATAATATGAAATGTATCTTCTTTAGTAGTAATTTAAAAGAATGGAACAAGTGGTTTATCCAATGGAATACCATTCTTGAAAATATATAAAAGAGGTTGAAGGACAAGTGCATCAGGATTAAATGGATCAATCATAGAATAACCAAATTTTCTAAGTTAAACCTCTACAAATGTTTCATTAAGTTCAAATTATTAATTATTCTCTACCTTTGATGCTTTAGTTATTTTTGGTAGTATTTCACCTGATCTCCATTAGATGATTATGTAAAGAAAGTAAGCAAAACTCAACCCATACAATAATATTGACATCACACCTCCCCAACACGTTTTATATTGAGAAGTTGAATATTTTATACTAGGTTAGAATGCTACTCCAAATTGATCTATTTTTTTGAGTAATTAAATCATAAAGTATTATAATTATCATATTATTTTATTGATTTCAAAGAACTAAGACATTCTAATACCTTCAGTTCTATCTCTATTACAAATTAATAATTCGAAATCTTAATCAATCAATTCTTATTGATTCAATTAAGATTCAAATTTTTATTATAATTCATATTATTTCTCATTATTTAGTATTACATTTTTTAAGTCATCATCTAAAATCTTTTATTGTGCTAATTTATTTTATTACTATGTCATCTCAACTTTGCTATCATTTTAAGGAATCTATAATAAATTAATCATTCTTCTATACCACTCTTGAATCCTTAGAAATCTCACCTTCTTAATTATCTAACTCTAATTCTTATTTTGTTTTCTCAATAAAATTATTCTCCTTAATTCCTATCTAATGAGAACTCATTAAATTTTATCTATCTATCATTGATTACAATATAAATTAAATCCTTGAAATCTCATAGATTTAATTTGTTATTGTCAATTTAACCTTTGCTATCTCTTTCAGTTTCCCATATTCGCTATTAAACTTATTTATATTTAAATTCCGATCCAAAAATTCTATCCTTACTATCTTACCAAACCAATTCTTTTGATACTTTAAATATTTTAGATTTGGATAAAACATATTTATTACTTATGATATTGCTTCATTCTCTAAAAAATATTAATTACTCATTATAACAAATGCCGATGTTAAAAGTAAAATTGAAACTATTGATCCTGTATCAGCCAATACCTCATTTACTTTTGGATATTGAATATAACTAATAGATTTTATACCATTCAATTAATAATTATTGATGAAGTATGTTGTAGAATTTATTACGCTAGAAAAAAACTTACTATTCACTTATTAACCAGCTGTTTAAATATCTAAAATGAAGTCTCTTTAATAAGTATTCTCAAACAACAATCCATTATCTATTATTGTCTCTTATAATTTCAATGTACTTGTTGAAAAATAAACCGAAGTTGGATCCAAAGCCACAATTACTTCTGATCCGAATGTATTTATCTTTTCTTATTAAGCATTAAATTATTTAACATAAGTTGTGAATAAGAGTGTATTCACTGATTAATTGAAAAAGCTTTTCCTAGTTGTTGTATTTGCACATTTCATCTAAGTATTATTAGCTAATAGCTATGGAACACAATCAATCAATATAATCATATACTCTAATTCTGGTTATTCCAGTGTTCTATTATTACTTATAGCTAACGTAATGTTTTCGAAATATATTTTAACAAATTCATTTTCATTATTGTTAATTATTTCAGGAATCTTTGGAGTAGGACTTAGTTATCCATTTGTATATTAAAATATCAATGGAAGCATTACGATATTCTATGGATTAAATGGATCTATTATAGTGTCATTCATCTTTCTCATTTAGATTGAAAATAGTGGTTCTTCAAAATAGATTTACTAATTTTCTATTACCTCACTTGATACTGTTATTTTTGGTAGCATTCCACCTTCTTTCCAAACAACAAATTAGTAAATGAAATATCCCAAACTTACTCCATAAAGCAATATAGATAATATTCCACCTAAAACTGTTTTATATTCACTATCTTGTGTTATACTAGGCTTAAATACAACTCCAAATTGATCAAGATCTCTAAGAAATTTCTTAGTAATCTCACTTAACTTACTCATCTAATTCATTCTATTAATATTTATATAATAAACAATCAAAATTCTGTTTATCTTAAAACCTTTATATTCAATTAAACTAATTAAAATTATATAAATAGTTCTTAAAAGTTAAAAATAAATTCTTATAAAAATTTATTTTAAAAATCAAAATAATCCATAAATTTCAACAAATAACAATAAATTGATAATATAATTTTATTTAAAATATGGATTAAACAAAAAATAAATTCATATTAATGAATAATTCTTTTAAAGAAGTTAATCCAAAAATTGATATATCTGTTAACTAAAATAAATATATATAAATCTAATGAAAAATATAATATTATCAAGTTTATGATAATTTATTGCTTTAAATTTAAGCATAATCAGAATTTCTCTTAGAACCAAAGTAATATTGTGGAGTATTCAAATATGCACTTTAATTTTAAGATGATATTGAATTGACTTCTAAAGTTTCACCTCTCCTTAATATAGTTTTTTATTAAGGTTTAATGTGAACAAATTAATAGAAATTATAATCTGGAGCTTTTAAATATGTTGGTGAATTTAAATCACTTGATCTTAAAGATTCCACTTTTTCTAGACAATCTAATTTAATTTCTATTTATTTTCCTTCTAAAATAGATGGTCTTATAAATTTTCTCATTTTTAAAACCAATTTTAATTTTTATTTCAATATTCTCATTCTAATTTTTTTAGGTTCACAAACTCCTTTGTAGATCAAATCTTATAAAGCCTTATTTTTTCTTGATCTTTAATTCCCTAGATTTGAAGACAATTATATTTTTAAAGGAGATGATTATTTTTTCATTTTATTTTTAACAAACTCAGAAAGTGCATTTTATTATGTTAGTGGATTGGTTCTATCATAATCAGTTGGCAATTTTAAATAAACATCTTCATATCTAATAGAATCTTCTTCTTCATTCAAATCCTTAAACAACATTCTATGTATTCTATATGAAGGTAATATGATTTCCAATCCAGATAGAGCAAGGGATGTTAAATTTATAGTTTAACATATTTTTCCAGAATTAAAAATAAAATCAAGGCAAAATTACATTGTCGCAAATAGAATTGGACTTAAATCCATTAAATAAAGCATTTCTGTATCAAGATGACTACTTTAAAAAGGAGGCTTAGAATTTCTTCTTAATAATAAATACTTTTAAATCCAATAATAACTCATCAATCCTACAAATCCAAAAAGAACAGATAATGGGATAAGTGGAGCAAAAAAAAATGAAAGCCATGTAGTTTTACATAAATAAGAATATTGATCATAAAATTGAACTTATGGACCTTCAAATAATTTATTTGCTTAAAATTAATTAATATCTTAATTTTTCTCTATTCTTAATTATCTTATTTTCTGAATTAAATAAATAGGATTGAAATATAAAGATAAAGTTATTAGAATTGCGTTTGTTCCTGAAACATACACTATATCATCAGCAATACCTCCTTATTATTAAATTGCAAGATTACTTAATTAATTTGGATGATATTTTAATAATGAATTGTAAGTTCCTATTATGTTTATTATTATTAAAAGTAAACATGAGTTTACAAATTGAACATAACTTAACTTTTATGCTATTGATGTATCTAATTAAGTCTTTGTACCATGTCTTTCCAAATTAGCCAATAAAGTTATAAAATAATATATAAAACTATCCACTATTGTTATGATTAAGGATTTTGAAAATGATACCATCGTTGTTATAAAAAATTAGTTATTGTTTGACAATAAGAAACTATTCTATGTTTAATAGAAATAGTTACTTAAAAGACATTTAAACCATATAAAGTACAAAGAGATAAACCGAGTAAAAATAATATTACAAACCAACTTAGAATTTTTCTTTTGAATTAAGTATTTTAATCGATACCACAATTTTCCCAAAATACATCATCTGGTTCAGGAGCTCTGTTGATTTAGATCAATTGTCCTTTAAAATAGAATCCCTTGCTATCTTTCTTATTTAGAAGAGACTTTATTGCAATCATTAATACTTCCCAATATGATAATTTTGTCTACTCTAATAGATTTTGTAATTCTATATCATAAATAAATTTTAGTATACGCTTTTTAGTCTAAAATGTTATGAAAGCTATAGGAGTTGTTTATCTGTAACAACCATTTTCAATTTCATATTCAATTATCTATTAAAGTTATGATATTTATTTAATTTAACAAATTATTTATTTTTTGTTGTGCTTTTTTCTAATTGTTTTTCTAATTCAATTTTTTATCTTCCTTAATCTATAAATTATGATATATCATAAGCTATATTAATTTTAACAACTTCATATTAATTTTTTGGATCAAATTCTTAACAATACTATTCTAAAGCATGTTTCAATTCTTTCTCATCATAATTATTTTTAGGTAAATGATTCAAAATAGCTGTAAAATCAGAAGGCGATAATAATTCTGTATCTATTGCAAATTCTACTCTCTTCTATTTTTCTCTAATCAAAACCATAATTATTTTCATAATGATTACTGAACATAAAAGTAATGAGGATTGAATTATTTTTTATTAATATTTTGTTTGTTTATTAATAAATGACAATTAAGACATTTAAGAACGTATACAAATGTTTGTATAATGATGACAAATTTATTAACAATCTGTAAAAATATTAGTAAATTCTTTGAAATCCTCATGTTCTAATGGACAATTCTCTAAACAACCCTTTTATTACCATAATTAATAAGCATAGTTATTCTCTGAAATACAATCATTACCTAAGTAATTAAAGATCAAGTTTGGAAGCATGAAGCAAAACATCATAAATATGTACATTAGGATTATGAAAATCATTTAATTAAAGAATAATGGAACTCCCTATCCCAAGAAAGCTAGATCTAAGATTTTTATTGATAATGGCAAAGAAATCTTTGAGACATTCAGACCACAACATGGACAATATTCAGAATTCTCTAAATTATAACCGCAACTAGTGGCTAACTAAAATCATAATATTTTAACCTGATGTTTAATGGCATATTTCATAAGTGGTGGCTTTTAGAAAAAATCAAACTTAAACGTGTCACCTAAATATTTTGGATAATTCATTTACTATTTTTATAAAAATGTATAGTTTTATTAATGTATAAATTTATTGAATAGTATATTAGTAATTTCTTGAATAGTAACGAATGAGAAATTGTAATATTCTATTATAATAATAAAATAATTAATTATAAATCATTACCAAATTACAAATTTCCTCTCTAATCCAGTAGATATCATAGTTTTGATATCATTAATTATACAGACAGAAGCATGCGAAAAGAATAAAAAAATTATTTCTTTTGTATCAGAAATATTATAAATGAATGTACTTCATGTCCTTTTAATACATTAGATTTTTATAACATTCCTAAATTCTCTACTTCTATTTAATTTAAATCATTTAAATCAAGTGTCCATAATCTTATTGATAAATCAGCTGAAGCAATAGCAACATTTGCAAATGATTAAGGAGATAATGTTAAAAGTGATTATGGATGAAATGCTATAGAATGTCATTTAGTTAAATGAACTAATAAACTTGATTTCAATGTTGCTGTTTCTATATCCCATAATTTGCATTCTCCAGATCCACCAGCAGTAGCTAAATATTTTTTATCAGGACTAATTGTTGATCTAGATATTCCTGATGAATCTCCAAATTAAGACATTTAAATTGAAAAATTATTTTTTTTTACAGTTCTTATAATACTTATTGATCTTCTTATGAAGCATCAACTATTAATCTTCTTAATCTCTATTTTTCTACTCTAATTGCTGCATTATGAAGTAATAATTTAGCAATTTCAATTCTTTCTGCTCTTAATCATTCAATGCCTTCATTTAAAAAATATTCATTCTCTAAATTACCCATGTCATGATTATTTTATCGCTATCTTCTATCTGCTGCATTTTAACCAAAATAAGTTACTGCTTATTCCTAATTATCTTAATTATGATTTTATTTTCGTTGGTACCATCAATTTACGGGCTTCTGCCATCAATCTTTATTTTGTTTCATTTTGTTTCATTTTCTTCTTATTATTTTTATTATCTATCAACATTTTCTTTTGTATATGAAATAAATGGTAAAGATTCCTATTATTTATTTATTACTGTAGGTAGGTGCTCGAGTACTCAATTGAGATATTTAACTTAAATTATCTGCTACTCTCTTTATCTTTCTTATTATTATAAATTCATATTTAGTTTAGTATATATATATATTTGTTTCAAGCATTTATTATTAAATTTTAGAATTATCTAATCCCCTCAATTCTATTGTCAATATACACACTTTCCCGCAATCGATCGATAGTATTCCTTAATTTATTCCTACAGATCATAATAAATATTGCTAATTTCTTAACCAATTTTATTAGATATATTAATTACATGATCTTTTTATCAATATTTTATTTAAATTCATATTAATTTGAATATAATTGTTTGATTCAATCACTTCAATGCCATCATATTTCATAACTACAGAGATTTATTCAAAAATAAATAAATTTATGTTTACTATTATTATTATTTTATTATCAATTGTAATAAATGATTAAATTAATTTCTTTATTGATTCAATAAGCTCATATAATTTAATCTAAATCTGTTTTAAAAATTTAATATAATTATCATAGTAGCCTGATAACCCAAATACAATNCAGCAGTAGCTAAATATTTTTTATCAGGACTAATTGTTGATCTAGATATTCCTGATGAATCTCCAAATTAAGACATTTAAATTGAAAAATTATTTTTTTTTACAGTTCTTATAATACTTATTGATCTTCTTATGAAGCATCAACTATTAATCTTCTTAATCTCTATTTTTCTACTCTAATTGCTGCATTATGAAGTAATAATTTAGCAATTTCAATTCTTTCTGCTCTTAATCATTCAATGCCTTCATTTAAAAAATATTCATTCTCTAAATTACCCATGTCATGATTATTTTATCGCTATCTTCTATCTGCTGCATTTTAACCAAAATAAGTTACTGCTTATTCCTAATTATCTTAATTATGATTTTATTTTCGTTGGTACCATCAATTTACGGGCTTCTGCCATCAATCTTTATTTTGTTTCATTTTGTTTCATTTTCTTCTTATTATTTTTATTATCTATCAACATTTTCTTTTGTATATGAAATAAATGGTAAAGATTCCTATTATTTATTTATTACTGTAGGTAGGTGCTCGAGTACTCAATTGAGATATTTAACTTAAATTATCTGCTACTCTCTTTATCTTTCTTATTATTATAAATTCATATTTAGTTTAGTATATATATATATTTGTTTCAAGCATTTATTATTAAATTTTAGAATTATCTAATCCCCTCAATTCTATTGTCAATATACACACTTTCCCGCAATCGATCGATAGTATTCCTTAATTTATTCCTACAGATCATAATAAATATTGCTAATTTCTTAACCAATTTTATTAGATATATTAATTACATGATCTTTTTATCAATATTTTATTTAAATTCATATTAATTTGAATATAATTGTTTGATTCAATCACTTCAATGCCATCATATTTCATAACTAAAGAGATTTATTCAAAAATAAATAAATTTATGTTTACTATTATTATTATTTTATTATCAATTGTAATAAATGATTAAATTAATTTCTTTATTGATTCAATAAGCTCATATAATTTAATCTAAATCTGTTTTAAAAATTTAATATAATTATCATAGTAGCCTGATAACCCAAATACAAT